GGCATAGCCCATACAATCTTGGGATTCTATAAGACATTCCAGAATATTCTTTTGTTCAGATTTTAAATTTTCAATCGAGAACTTTGTCAAAATATTTTTTCGAAGCGTATACTCCAATGGCAGTCACCAGTATGACACAAGTGCCGTATAGGTCGAGAAAGCTGATTTCTGATTGGCTAATGCCGGCTTCTTCTGAGACATTTCATTGGTCGGTCAAAGTTCGATAAAGGTCGTTTTGACGTGACTTGTAAATGTCTGTAATGGGAGGTTAACAGATCTTTGTTAATCGGTAGCAAGAACTAAGATCTGAGTTTAATTGATAAACCACATCAGCACGACACGTGGCGTAATACGGGGCTGGTGATATTTAAGGTTTCAAAGTGCTAGCCCACTTAAAAAAACATGACTCAGTTTAACATAGATACCCCACTCAGACACATACTGACATCGAGCCGACCAGTCCTTGTTTTACCCCCTTAAAACCAAGCGCTGAATAACATGTTCCATCTTTTAGCGTCTTTTGGTACGATGCGGCCAGAGGATCTGACCACCGACCTTCCGCTCTCCGGGCAGACATCAACTGCACCACAGAGACGATGCATTCATTATAAACTTTGTCAGCATCATATGCATACGTGTTCTCGTTGGTGCCAACTGCATTACGGACGTGATGTGATGTACCTGAAATATTGTTCAAAACAGCATTAAATTGTAATAAAGAAGTTGTTCATCCATAGAACTCGTCTTACTTCATCACTCCAACTTCTAAATGCCACTCAAAGAAGCATTAAATTCACTCATTTTAAATCATTTAAGTGCATAAGTCCTGCATTAACATAATCAAATTTTAGCAGTGAAAACTTCAAACTTCCTTATTGAGAAATAACTTAAACATTTAATCAATGGGTCTCAAATTAAGCAAAATGAATGGAAAGTTAAACAGCGAACACAAAACTTATTCGATTTATGTACATGTGTGTACGTAAACAGTACTGTTTATTCAGCATGAACGCTGCACACAAATATTGCACAGGATAATAAGGGGATCGTACACGTCTTCGTTGTGTAACGGACCCTCTTGCCACTGTCGATGGATCATCTAGCAGTGCTGCCAAGAAACACAAGGGCAGATTTTGGTGATGGTGGAAAAAGAGAGTAGAAACTTCTTCATAGAATAAATCATGAGCGAGTGTTTAAGCATGTCAATATGTTATGATGTAAATTTACACCGTGTGAGGAAATTAAAATCGCAGCTTCGGGAATAGTTTTCTCTATTTTACATTTTTGTAAAGGATAAAACATGACTCCCAGGTTCTGGTTGAGATTGTAAGATCTGAGCAGGGACGGGTTAGGAAAGACGGAGGTCGAATCCTGAGGTACTGTGTGTTTTACACTTATAACCAAAATGAGGAGTGGTTTATCGATTCCTAGTTACTAAAACAAAAATGACTAAATTGAGAAATGTGGCAGTTATCGAGCAAAAACAAATACCTATTAAACAGACAATCAAGAGTTATTAAGCACCGGTTGCCTCTAAACAGGCGAAATTAATTGCCATTTGGGCGCAGGAATAGCCTAGCCATATCCCTTGTTTCGATCTAAGGGTAATGGTTGTCCCAGTCATCTAAGGTGCCGCAATGGCTATGCAGCGTTGCCTCCTATAATCGTGACAAGATTCACCCTAATAATCCTTAGTCTGCCATATCTATATCCGTGGCTATCATCTAGTTTGTAACCTGCGTCCATACATAAGTATGATATATTTGTTGAAAAACTAAAAGACTGTTTAATCAAACATTAAAACTCACTCACTCACTCAAACAAAAAGAAAAACATTATCGCTGGTATTAATCTCCCTGTTAGATACTGGACTATCGCATGGCAGTTTCAATAGATTTTATCACTATTTGTCCTGGTAATCCGGATATTTCATCTGATGGATAAATAAAGGAAGAGACGAACACGACCATGATCAATGTCGGCTATATGAAAACTTTATATAATACAAACAGACATAGGCCAGACGTCGTCGTAGCGCGTAGATCACTGACAGACTTTACATCGATGTTTGATAGTACCGTGCATGCTAATTGCATGTGTAATCGATTACCGATTGAAACGCGAGAGAAAGACATATGACTGTCTTTACAATATAGCTGGAGTGCTCAGCTTCGGAGACTTTCAATATTAGAGTGATTATATTGTTGTTCAGTGTAGTCTTATTACTGTTTGAAAAGTCGGCTTCGGTACGATTTCATGTCCAATTGGAAAGTCTATTTATTTACTACAGGGAAAAATCCATATTTCGTTTTCTTTGTTCGAAATCTACGGAAGCCTTTTAGGGTCATTTGTTTTTTTATTTGTTTCTTGAAATTTCAAGTTACTAAGTTGAAACTTCAAGTTATTATCTTGAAATTTCAAGTTAGAATCGTGAAATTTCAACTTCTGTACCTTGAAATTTCAACTTGAAATTTCAACTTAGTATCTTGAAATTTCAAATTTATTATCTTGAAATTTCAAATTTATTATCTTGAAATTTCAACTTAGCATCTTGAAATTACAACGTGGTATGTATCTTGAAATTTCAGAATAGCATCTTGAAATTTCAAGTGACAGAAGTTGAAATTTTAAGATAAAAAAAACAAAACAAACCCAAATAGCCCTGAAAGGCTTCCGTAGAAATCAGTGTGTCCTTGAGTAATTCCAGATATAATGCTTCTGTGTGCGGTAGTGTAGGCTTATATTTAATAAGGGTAATTTGAAGATAACGATGCTCGTCAATAGCTTAATCACTTGGAAGCATGCTTATCAATTCTTCTTTCAAAAGCTTCATTAAAATCTGTGGATTTGTGTTAGCTTTGAAAAAGACTAATATTCAATATGGCGTACCTGCAAAAGTTTAAATAACTACTTAAATATTTAAATTATAAATCGTAATGAAACCCTTAAAAATAATATTACTTTCTGCAAGAGTCTGCAATGGAAACTGAAAAAAACCCGACCTGCACAGTGTGTGTGTGTGTGTGTGTGTGTGTGTGTTGTGTCCTACCATTTTTATGTTATTCAGGCTCACCCAGCACGTTTTGTGCTTACCGTGTTTTAATATGAATAAAAACGAACTGTATGCATGTAATTAACGTAATAATAACGCCAGATAATAATCAGCCTCTATTATCTGCGTCATTATTGGGCGTTAAGGGCAAAACATTGTTGAAAATTATATAGATTGACCACTGAAGGTCGGTGATGACAACCGCCTCCGTGGTCTAGTGGTAGATCGTCCGCCTGGATAGCGGAAGGTCCGGGGTTCGATACCCGGCCGCGTCACACCAAAATGGTTTAAAAGATGGTACTTGTTGTTACCCTGCCTGGCGCTCGGCATAAAGGGGCTAAACAAGGACTGGTCGGCTCGGAGTCAGTGTACTGTGTCTGAGTGGGGTATTCATGTTAAACTGCGGCATGGTATCTCAGTGAGCTAGCATTATAAGTCGGCATCAGTCCGGACTAGTACAAGCAGCCACACACACAAGTGCATGCACGTCGCCAAGTGCAATAATCTTGGACGCGACGTTAAACCCAATTTCACCAGGTGTTCGCGAAAAGCGTAGGCACCAATGACACTGATACAGAGAAATAAAGCAACATTGCAGTAATCGTTAATCTGTTGATGCCATGTTTCATATTAACCTTAGCCTTCTGTCTTTCATACTGATTCTGTTTTCATTTTGTAATCACAAGCGACTCTATTAATTTGTTTGTTTGTTGTTTTACGCCACACTCCGCAATATTCCAGCTATATGACGGCGGTCTGTAAATAATCGTGCCTGGACCAGACAATCCAGTGATTGATATCGGATATGGTGGTAAGGCTCGCTGACTTGGTTGATGCATGTCATCGTATCCCAGTTGCGCGAATCGATTCTCATGATGTCAATCACTGGATTGTCTGGTCCGTTCTAGGTTTGTCAGCACCATACCCGTGCTCGTGGGTTTCACCGAAGTGGTAAACGTCTGAGACCTGCATCACTTGGGGCTTTCCTCCCACATTAAGCTGACACGCCGCGATATAACTGGTATACTGTTAAAAGCGGCGTTAAACCCAACTCACTCACTCACTTTTACAAATTGTTGCAGGAATGAGTGATGGTTACATAGACATAATCAAATTTGACAAAAGTTCTTTCAGTGTTCAATTAAGTAAAAATCAAACTTGGTATAACTCACTCACTCACTCGCTCATTTGTTCAGAATACTCACTGTAAAGGAGGAACCATTCGATATTCTGCCGCGCGTGTGTGTACATGTATGTGTGCAGACTAAAGGAAGAACGTTTTTACCCTTCAAAATATCTTTTGAGATGTCTGAAGTTGTCATCGTTAGTAATGTACATTGCTAATGACATTTCCTGACCTCTTAATATTATTGTATATCAGTGTAATGTATGTGAATATCGATAGAAGTATCCCGTTGAACGTAATTACTGCTAAAAAAGCTGACCCAGAAGGCCACAATACGCCATCAACTTGTTTCGGCACTGTGAAGGGCGTAGTGGTTAAAGCGTTCGCTCGTCACGCCGAAGACCCGGGTTCGATTCCCAACATGGGTACAATGTGTGAAGCCCATTTCTGGTGTCCCCCGCCGTGATATTGCTGGAATATTGCTAAAAGCGGCGTAAAAAAAATACTCACTCAGGCACTGCGCAAGTATTACATACATCGTAATGACAAGAAATCCCAACACTCACAAATCAATACAAATATGACAATAAAATTGTATTGTGTTTTACTGTGAGAAATGTTTTTGAATCTCACATAGAAGAATGTTTCATGAAAATACGAAATCCGGAAACCGTTTATCTCTCAAGAAATCCCAAACAGAGCATCTGTATAAATATATTCATATCCTCACTATGAGCATCGAGTGCGCGGACGTCGGTGAGGGCGAGTTTACAGGACTGCAGCAGAGAAGGTGTTACTCTGGAGTGTGCGTCAGTTGTTCAGCTGGAGCACACGGCTAGCTGTACTGCTGGAGTAGACGACATGTATTGACCAGACACGGCATGGATAGGGTCGGTTGTGAAACTACAGGCGCGGGGGTCTGGTCAATACCTCACTGAAATGGACTGGTTTGGAGGTAAGTGTCGCATCTTGTGATATATGACTTAAATTGTCCTATTTTCCTGTTAGAAACTTCCTGTTAGAAATTGTTCAAATAAAGCGACAAAACATTTTCCATAATCATAAGAAAAGTCCAATTGTAAGAATTCGACTACATCATAAGCTTGGATTGTTGTGGTGCTTCGGCGAAACATGGTAACGTATTTCTTACACGTATACAATTCCGGAGCAGGGTTTCATTTATGTGTGAGTAGAAGTAGCAGACGCAGTCATCTTGAAGTGTAGGTTGCTATTTCATATTTTGTTTTCCCGGTGGGGCAGGATAAACTCATATTTTCGCGAACACCTGGTGATTCATAAACACAAGCTTATAGTACAATGAACTCTGCTGATATCAGTGATTTCTTATGATTATGGAAAGGGGCTGTCTTTTATTATTTATTGAGAATCGTTTTCAATTAAGAACAACCTCATTTCCTTTCATCTTACTTGAAATAGTTATCTAAGTATGTTTAGTTTGATGGTACCGCGAATAGACTGTAATCGGAATTGATCGAGCACATGGTTATTGAACGTGTTTCAGCGGAGGTACATTTCTCAGACATTTTGGGATCCAGTTATATAAACCGTGTTTTGACCTTATAACGGGGTAGGTATTATGTATTAAGGAAATTATATTCACGAGTACATTGGGGTATCTAAAGCTTTCTGAAAACAAAACAGTTGTATGTATGTTTACTCAAAATGGTCACAATGTGTCAATAAGGGGCGGTCGAGTGGTTAAAGCGTTCGCTCGTCACGCCGAAGACCCGGGTTCGATTCCCGACATGGGTACATTATGTGAAGCCCTTTTCTGGTGTCCCCCGCCGTGAAATTGCTGGAATATTGCTAAAAGCGGCGTAAAACCATACTCACCCTCTCACTCACACAAATAACATAAACAGGTCGAACCTCACCCCATCCCTCGCCAAGTAATGTTGGAGGATTAGATCCTACTCACAGTTCCCTGTTATACTCGAACATGGCAGCAAAGATGGCACACAACCTCGATTGAAGGCTATGTTTCAATATTGCAAATATTATGTTTCACATGTAATGTGATTTGTTGGTGGAACCTACTCAACACACAACTATAGGCCTGAATTGATTATGAGCCAGGGTCTACTTACATTAATAATTAATGATATACAACACTGTTGACAGACAAGATAGGTTTTCATCAATCAGAGGGCCCGGCTCCATTTCCCTCAAGGGTGCAATGTGTGAAGCCCATTTTTGTTGTCCTCCGAAATAATATAGCTAAATGTTGCCAAAAGTGGCTTAACCCTGCACTCACTCACTCACTCACTCACTCACTCACTCTGGAATGTTGCAGTTCTAGTGGGAAGATATCTGTGTAACGTTGGTCCCAGATCAAGACATCTGTTTGAGGATGAACTCCTGCTGTGGATGTCGGCAGATGAATACTTCATTACTCACGTTACCAATGGCGTTTCAATGGTCTTGAAGTGTTAGAGTCGCCTTTCTGGCATGTCATTTCGGAATTGATATCGACGAATCTTCTCTAAGAATCAATATTGACAAAAGGTGGAAAGAAAAGCAATGTCTCTGTACATGTATATGTAAATACCAATTTTGTTATATTTAGTTATGACTTAAGGTTGTTTGCGTGTGTCCTTAGGTGTTTGGCATTATACAGAGTGACCGAATAATGATTAAATAATAAAGTCAGTCGGACAGCAGGATTTAAATAAAAACAAATCAGAAACGGTTTGAAGCCAGACACATATTCCTTCCATACAGTACAAAACTTGAACATGTTTACAACAATTGACATTCAATGTTCTATTATACAGTATATATGCTTTCTATCCAGTAAGGGGGCACGGGTGGCCCAGTCGTCTAAGGCGCCGCGATTCGCTGTGCAGAGTTGCGTCACTTGGGCACGCCAGAAACCTATGATTGTGGGTTCGAATCCCGGTTCGCCCCAATTATGTTTCTAGGTTTGTCAGCACCATACCCGTACTCGTGGGTTTCACCGAAGTGGTACACGTCTGAAACCTGCATCACTTCGGGCTTTCCCCCCACATTAAGCTGACACGCCGCGATATGACTGAAATAATGTTAAAAGCAGCGTTAAACCCAACTCACTCACTCTATCCAGTAAACACGTAATTCCACCATGAGTGAACATTAATCAATCAGATCTTTATTACTAAACTACCATGCATGTCCTTCTCTGCTATACATACATCCACGGCCCACAACAAAGTATCCCACCAGAACGACAGAACACGTATATGAAAAAACAAGGTATAATGACGGCTCTATTTGGCTCTCGAGGTATGCATAGTTTTAAAAATGAAGAAATGTTCATATGAAATGGAATTCGACTTTGTTCAACTCAACTATTGCATGGTTGAGATTTATAACAACATTTAATGCATCGGTAACTTATGTCAGAGTAATGGCTAAACGTAATCTGAAGGCTGCTTTTTTAGGTTTTCAGGAAGCTTTTCTATTCTTAACAAGCCTGAAAGGTTAGGTGAACTTATGCGTCGCCCAAAAAACATATTACATTTTCGTATTCTCCGATATAGCTTGATGGATTCTACTGAAATTAAATTTTGTGTTGATAGTTGTTACCATAAGGGGTTTCAAGTTTTATTTCAAAGCTTCAAAAGTGGAATTTCAAAATGGCCGCCAAATAGCCATCTTTGATTAAAAAAATAAAAATACATTTTATTCTTCTCAAAAAGGGCCCGCGGCCTGAAAAAATCACATAGATCACAGGCGTGCCCTTTCTTAGATTTTCTTTCTAAGTATGAAAGATTCACTCATGTTGGCTATTGTCATGTATTTGATGGAGTCAGAAGTTCAAAGGTTGGAAGTCCACGGGACAAATTGTTACCATTTGCACATGGTAATTTTCATGCCAATATTACAAAGTTCCCACAATTTTATAATTTGACGTTTCCTTGGGCTAACTAGAGATCGTATTCTACCTCGTCCTTTGACTGCTTGTTATGCGGCCCTTGTAGACAAATGTTCTACTTTACTTTTCGGTCATCCATTTACTAACGTAATTGAGAATCGATGCCTTAAAATAAGATGCCCTCTAGCGCCCTTTTCCACAAATCAATGTTATTATTAGTGCTACCACTGTCGTAAGTCTACATCTAAGTATGAGAGATACGGCAATCGGAGTGCTAGTATTGCCTCGTGAAAGTTCACGAAATTCGTTTGATGTCTGGTCAAAGGAGGATCGATAACAACTGTGAAAGTAGATGAATTCTGTCCTTTGAGTGCGTTTTTGTCAGAATCAATAAACCCGAGAAGAGATAGCGGGTATTTTATAACCACCTGTGCCATTACAACTTGCAAGGCTCCCGGTTAGCGAGCTGTCCATCGCCATACGGATTTGATTACACAACATTCCCCGGCCATCACCCGTGAATACATATGACCGATTTTGTGGTCCGGAGTCATATATACTTGTGTATATGCTATTTACGATACCAGGGATAGTGGTGACACGTACAGGGTAATAATATCTTCATCATAACGTCTTATTCTTAAATTTATCAATGTTTAAGACTTAATTTCACTTACTGAAGTGGGGCACGAGTGTCCCAGTCGTCTAAGGCGCCGCGATTCGCTGTTCAGAGTTGCGTCCCTTGGGCACGTCAGAAACCTTTGATTCTAGGTTCAAATTCCGGTTCGCTCCGATTATGTTTCTAGGTTTGTCAGCACCATACCCGTGCTCGTGGGTCTCACCGAAGTGGTAAACGTCTGAGACCTGCATCACTTCGGGCTTTCCTCCCACATTGAGTTGACACGCCGCGATATAACTGGAATGCTGTTAAAAGCACTGTTAAACCCAACTCACTCACTTAACTGTAGTGAGTGAGTGAGTGAGTGAGTGAGTGAGTGAGTGGGGTTTTACGCCGCTTTTAGCAATATTCCAGCAATATCACCGCGGGGGACACCTGAAATGGGCTTCACACATTGTACCCATGTCGGGAATCGAACCCGGGTCTTCGGCGTGACGAGCGAACGCTTTAACCACTAGGCTACCCGACCGCCCCCACTTAACTGTAGACAACAGGTAGGAATACAATTCTGGAGTGGCACGCCCCATAATATATAGTGCCAAATGATTTTCAGCTATTAACACTCACTCATCGAGAATTATCTATATTTGTTTGGAACATGCGACAATAGATAAGTAAGTAGGCATCGTATCGATAGAGTTTATATTATGGTGACATTTGCATATTTATCGAATCGTTAAACCAAGTTTATCGGATTTGTTTGTCTCATCGATAACATTATCTAAACTAGGCGGCAAAAGAAAGTATAGGTTGGCAATTTGTAATTTTCCTAAAAACAGCGATAACTAGTAGAAAGTGGGTATTTGGGAATTTGGCTGCCCAGGAACAGGTACCAAAAACACCTCACCCGAACGCGCCACCTTTGACGGCGCTCGTGCGGTGACAGAAAAATGGTGAAACAGGTTTCCCGCCTATGGCATAAACTGTACGTGCGTGTTAGCTGTATAAATGCGTTCGTCTGCAGGGTATAACCACACGTGATGACAGCACTCAAAAGAAATGTCACGACTGTCACAGGAACAGAGAGAGATAGCCATCGGTATGGCCGAAATGGGGGCAACACAGGTCCAATTTGCCAGAAGGTTTAATTGTACACCATTGACAGTAGCCAGGTTGATTCAACTGTACAGGCAGACAAGGAGGACACAGGACAGGCCTAGAACCGGACGACCCCGAGTGACAACACCACTGGAAGACAGTCAGATACGGCTCATTCACCTGCGAAACAGATTCGTAACGGCGACGGCGACGGCGACGGCAGCAACAGCGCTGGGACATCCCATTAGCCAACGTACAGTACTACGACGACTTCGTGCTGCTGGAATCCGAGCGTATCGTCCTTTCCGAGGAATGGTACTGACTGCTCAACATCGACGCCTGAGACTGCGGTGGTCGAGGCAGGTTCGACGCTGGCAAGTGAGAAATTGGCGTCGAGTGCTGTTTACTGATGAAAGTCGGTTTAACTTGTTTCGAAATGACGGCAGAGAACGAGTTTATCGACGCAGAGGGGAACGTTTGGCTCCGGCGTGTATTCGAGAGGTCCATCCACTCGGTGGGGGAGGTGTCATGGTGTGGGGTGGTATTTGTGGAGATAAGAAGACTGGTTTGGTGATTATACAGGGAAACCTGAACGCTGTGCAGTACAGAGACCAATTGTTGCAGCCAGTTGTGCTTCCGTTCTTACAAAACCAACAGCAGGGGACATTGTTTCAACACGACAATACCAGGCCCAAAACTGCAAGACTGACTCGGAACTTTCTAAACCAGCAGAACGTTGACGTTTTGCCCTGGCCTGCCCACTCACCCGATATGAATCCTATTGAACATCTGCTGGACTATCTTCACAGACAGATTGGAGCACGCCATCAGCCTCCCGTCAACAGACAAGAATTGCAGCAGGCCCTGAGAGACGAGTGGCAACGGATTCCAGTCCACGTCATCAGAAGACTGACGTCATCGATGAGGCGGCGTATCACAGCATGCATTGAGGCAGCTGGAGGTCATACACGCTATTGAAGGCAACTGTGTCGACAATGAACTTGTAGTGTGTCTAACAATGTTTTGGTGACATTTTAGACAACTTTTGAAAATGAAATTTCTTACCCCACCATTGTTTACCTTGAGCTTACATTACCTGTGATTGCACAATTTAATTCAAACTGTGGTTGATCAATCATTTGTTACCCCTCCCTAGATTATATTATAATTCACAACAAAACCTCTTCTTGTTATTTTTTTATCGATCATGGAACTCTACCTATACTTTCTTTTGCGGCCCAGTTTATTACAAGTAAAAGATAATCCTTAAGCTTGGTTCAATTGGGAACTGTAGAAAAACAGATTACGTTAAGTTGGAGAAGAAAAACATTGCGACGAAGGAAATACTAATTTACCAAAGAAAATAATCTTTAATATTCCGCCCCTAAAATGTTAAATGATTTGATTGTACGCTGAAAACAGTGTAATGAAAAATCCTTTCCATGAGTTATTAGTTGGCTCTGGCATAATCAGTGACTGTTGTTCCTTGTTTGTTTTTGTTCAGACGTTTTATCTGTTCTGACCGGCATGACAGACATGTTGTTAAAGCGTCTGCAAGTTAAGATCCGCCGGATCCTATTCCCAACATGCGTCAAGTGATGTGTGAAGCCAACGTTGTTGGTGATATCGCGCTGACGTAGTTAGAACTACTCAATGCATTTGATTAACGTCACTATCAACACAGACACTGACTTCATAAAACACTCAGGATGCTGACAGCCAAAGGAATGTAAGCTTGGCCTTGGCTTCGTGTGGCGCATGCCATGAATACACATGCCAGGTTTTATATGCACAGAAATCAATTTCCATTTTGACCCAGCATGCTTAAAGACAAAGGTAGTTGTGATAGTGTTTTATATGTCTCTTTCTTTGATAACTTAAAAATGAAATGGTATTGATTTACAGAATGTTTTTTCTAAAATGCTTAATTGAAATAGATCTCAGTGTACAATTTTCGAAGTTACACATTTTAATTCCAAAACCTCTGTAGCTATGGCTTGTTTGTTGTAGAAAGCCGTACTCAGCAATATTCCAGATATATGACGTCGGTATGTAAATTATCGAGTCTGGACCAGACAATCCAGTGATTGATACCATAAGCATCAATTGACGGGATTGATAGGGATACGATGACTTGCATCAACCAAGTCAGCGAACCTGATCACCCGAATCTGTTAGTCGCCTCTTACGACAAGCAAAGTCGTCTTTTATGGCAAGCATGGGATGCTGAAGACATATTCTTCCCCGGATCTTCACGGGTAGAGTCGATGTGAACGTGAGTGCGAGTGTGAGTGTGAGTGTGAGTGTGAGGTGATGTAGGTGTGGGTGAGTGTGAGAGTGTGAGTGAGGTTTTACGCTGTTTTGAGCTCTGTTGTATCAAAGCATGTTAGTGATGAAGGTCGTATACGTTTACAACTTTGGTGAAATCCACGTGAGTGAGTAAATGATTTTAGGAATTCCAGCAATATCACGGCGGGGAATATGGTATTTATTTTAACTAATAAATACTGTATTTCATCCTTAGATAAAAGCGACAAATGAAAAAAGCACACACAAAAATCAGAATCCGTTGTACGATACCGACTTTATCATAAGCATGTCTCTCATCAAAAATCACTGTCATAAGGTGACGATACCAGGTGATCTCGAAAAGGCGCGTGTATTCTGCCCCACTGGTAAAGCGCATTATATAGTATTACTGTAATGAAGTCTTTTCACGCCATTTCTCTTCAATGTGTTATTACGCCCAATTTCGCCTAGTGTTTATCCTGATCCACCATCCCGCTGAATTAACCCAGGAAACTGGTGTGCAATTAACCTGTGGTCAAGACATAACAGAGAAAAGGGTCGATAGCAAATCCCGGTGATCAATCGATATGTTCAAGCATGTTCTAATTCACTTTAGTAGAATAGAACAGAATATATAAAAGTAGCGATTTTCTTTTAATTTGAATGTATAAGCCTTATGATTTGTATTGATCGAATCTTTGTTGTCAGTCCAGTCTTTCATTCATTTTCTATTATAATTACGTTGTACTTTTGGAGAAAGGTTATGGCACAACATTTTATCATTATTATCTACCATTAAATCTACTTCGTTGATATTATTTTGTATAATAGGAAACAGACAATGTAATTGCTTTCTTTGATATTAATATTAAGTCACTTTTCATATTTGATTTGATAATTGAATTAAAACATAAAGTGCTTATTTACATGGAGATCAAAGCATATTATTCTGGGTATAAATATCCTGTGTTTTCAACGTAGAGAGTTAGGTAACCTGTAGAATTAAAGGTACAACTGCATTTGGAACCGAAATCTGCATGTTGTACAGGTGAACATATCAATATTTTAAAATGCCTAGCGACAATGATTGAGGAACAAGTACTTGATGTAACTATTAGCTTTTGCGGTGAAGCGGCCATCCAATCAGATGTTTGAACAAGAGTCATTGTGATTTGAAACCTCTGATTGACCGATCCGATAAGAGTATTTTCCAAAGTCATGATATAACAATGTTTTGGGGATATTTAGAAAGATATATCTGAGTATATATTTGAGTTAAGATTCGGATATCATTGCAGGTCCGTTTATCCTCGTGATAAGACCACTGTCTGACCACTCATTCTACCAACCTCTGAGAACATTCATGTGAGACCAATTGGTCAGCCTGACCGTATTCAAGTGGACGGCCGGAGACAGAATGGACGCTAAGGACAACGTCACTCGGCTGACATTTGGACGTAACGAATTCTTGACCATCCAACCAGAAATTGCGATTCCGATTCTGTTTATACTTGGACTTGCAACAGTTGTCGGAACCTTGGGGAATGGTTTGATTCTGGTATCCGTGGCAACGAAGAAGTATCTCCACAACGTGGAGTCCATCTTCATAGTCAACCTGGCCTGCTCCGACCTGTATGTGACGGCGCTAGCGGATCCAATGAGCATCATAGGTGAGGCTGTTTGTCGAAATCATCCTAAATGAATAAGTTTTATTTAGTGCTGTAGTCCGGCTAGTATCTGCTACCGTAGTTCTGGGCTTTAGTGGGTAATGAGTCTATTATCATTGAAGATGCGGTCACCAATAATCTGAACTGCGTCTGAAAAGAATTGTTGTCAAGCCCGTTGTCAAGTTGTAATTAATTGAGTGAGTGATGATGCACTCATGATGGTGATGGTGATGGTGATGATGAATGCTAATATTATTGGCTCTATCCATTTGAACCATCTTATCCCCATTTCTCGTCTCCGTGAAGGCAAATTGGAGGTGTGCACGTGTGTGTGTGTGTGCACGTGTGTGTGTGTGTGTGCACGTGTGTGTGTGTGCACGTGTGTGTGTGTGTGTGTGTGTGTGTGTGTGTGTGTGTGTGTGTGTGTGTGTGTGTGTGTGCTTCGTATTCTATTCTGCATGATACACTGTGTAATACAAATTCACAGTCGACTCTAAATACAAATACAGATATCAGTTGTACGGTGGCCAATAAGGGACATGGTGTCTGTTTTTTCAATATTTTGATATTCACTTACTGTTATCGTAACCTTTTGCAAACTAATTGTCATACAAAATATGTGATAAATCATGTATAAAAACAACCGTCTATATTGAAAAACAGACTCCATGTCCCTTGTAGGCCACCGTACAGTTGACTATTCAAGCCTGTTCCGATAGTAACAGGAATGTTGTCTCAGAGAGACTTGAAGACTAATACAAATGTTGAATATATATCCTTCAATTTCATCAGTTTGTTTGTTTGTTAGTTTATAACGTCGCACTCAGCAATATTCCAGCTATATGAATATATCTGGAAATGATCGAGTCTGGACCAGACAATCCAGTGATTAACATCAGGGGCATCGATCCACGCAATTGGGATCGATGACATGCATCAACTAAGTCAGCGAGCCTGACCACCCGATCCCGTTAGTCGCCGCTTACGACAAGCATAGCCGCCTTCAATTTCATCAGAGTTCGATGGCACACTGATACGGCAAGGGGCCGACCATATGGGATATTCTTATCAAAGTATGTTTCCGAAATTGCTCGAATTGTTTTTGTCCTCATTACCAAAGAATTTAATCGTCCTGTTGACATGCTGGATATTCTGAACAAATTGTTTTGTGGGTAAAAGCTTAACTGAAATGTTCGGCCCCTTCCGAGACCTAAAGTATGTTTTTAAGTGAAGTCACCGAGGGCGGTCTTCCTAGTATGATAGCCGTTTAGCAACTTCAGCCTCTTTCAGACGTTCTGATTGTCCTATCAGCAGGTCCGACATCTTTTATATGAGTACCAAAGGCACTGAGTGAGTCAGTGAGTAGGTTTAAACGGCACATTTCAGTTATATCACGGCGTGCCAGCTTAATGTCAACACGAATATGGCACTGAGAAACAAAGGGATGAAATCAGGTACAAATGAACATCTTATGGAAAGTTATGGAAAGACACACTGGAAGTGCAAAGGGCAATTTATGGCAATGCTGATATAGACGTATTGTATTCATTTTGAAAAAAAAGAAACTTGACATAGATGTAAAACCACTTTTTGCCAAATATCCTAAATAATTACATTAAATGAGAACCAAATAAGTCAAACAGAAAGATGATGTGTCTATAATTCGCGAAAACACATGCAAAGCACATAATAGTAGCGTTTGGGGATCAATTTTACAGCTTCATCCAAACGCAACCGCCTGTAAAAAACGTGCAGCACAGGATCCTGCATTTAGTCATGCAGGCCCCCCTGCTGAATGGGTATAAAAATCCACATCAACGGCTGTTCATACAGTCCTTATAACGGCAGTAGAGACGGTGACAGAATGCCAAGACTGAATGCAGCTCAACGGAACAACGCCATTGTGAGATTACAAGCTGGAGCAACTCAGCAAGAAGTGGCCAGGCACTTTGGTGTATCCAAACAGACAATCTCCGCACTGTGGACCCGATACAACAACACCAACAGAGTCGACGACAGACCAAGGTCAGGAAGACCATGGGTGACAACCCAAGCACAAGATCGATACATCCGGCTGCGACACCTCCGAGACCGCACTACCACAGCCACGTCTACAACCACACAGATCCCTGGGGTACGCAGATGTCAGATCAAACGGCGCGCACGTGTCTACAGACGTCGGGGTGAACGTTACGCCCCCAACTGTGTGCAGCAGGTCGTCCCATTTGGCGGCGGAGGGTCATGGTATGGGCCGGAATTCATCACGGTGGTAGGACGCCTCTCGTGCATGTGGCAGGTGCATTGACAGGTGTGCGTTACAGAAACTTGATCCTACAGCCTTACGTTCTTCCTCGCGTCAACGTTCATGGCGGACAATTCCAGCAGGACAACGCTCGACCGCATATTGCACGTGTTTGTCAGGACTTCTTACAGCACAACAACATCCAAACATTACCTTGGCCAGCCCGGTCACCAGATTTGTCCCCGATTGAGCATCTGTGGGACGAGTTTGATCGACGCGTTAGCAGAAGGAATCCACCGCCCCAAAAACTTCCGGCGCTTCTTGATGCACTTCAGCATGAATGGCAGCACATCCAACAGCGTGGTATTGACAACTTGATTGCATCTATGGGTCATCGGTGTCAAGCAGTGATTGATGCACGTGGTAGGCACAACCGATACTGACATTTTCTGTACCCCTGTGACATTAACTGTATCGTGTACGTGTGTCTGTCTAGGTGACACGATTAATGTTTTGAACATTGTGTACATTGATCTTCAAACAGTGTTTCAATTATAGTTTCTGTGTCCTATTTTGAAACAATCGCATTATATTACATTTTGAAAGTCAGTGGCAAGTTTCTTTTTTGAAGAGTATATAAAGCATACGACCAGCTGTAGCAAAAACGGATTTGTTGTTGCAAGAAACTGAGGTTTTGATGTCTATGGTTGCAAGAAGACAGATAAATACATCTATCCACGTCTTATATTGTACAACATACTATAAAGCACGTATCTACAAAATCACAGCACAACCACCATGAGATACTGAATTCTAATTACAAGAAACGATTTTTGCGAAAAATATCTATTAATAATAGTCAGACGATGATGTAAGTTGAACCTGCGCATTGGAACCCGATAATACTGACGTCTCGACACGGCCGGCCAGGCGCCCTACAAATGATGTGCCGGAGGTAACAGGAAAACAATACACCTGCAAGACATATTCGAAAATCACAATGATTATTGGCAACTAGGAATGCTACAAGACCTCTATACATTGATGGAAAAGAGAACATCACAAATGCATTAATCATTTTATCAGAGCTGACCCTTCTGTACCCGGGAGAGAAATTCGGTCAGTCAGGCGGTTGTTGTAACTATAACTGCAATCACGGAGCCACCTTAAGTCGAAACTCACTAGAGCGACAATAACTGATGGCATTGATTCAGTGACCAGTCGGTATTATCTCTTCTACGGCATTGGCGATGAAAGAACTCTTGACACGAATACGCGACACTGTTATGAATCACGTCGGTCAGATTAATGATATGTATGTTTTCGTTAGAATTGATATCACACAGACGGAATGAGGAGTGTTCATGTAGTCTTTATGATAGAGACCCAACCAATGTCTTTATAACGAGACAGGTCACTATTAAAGCTGCCTGCCACTTACGAGAGTTGAGTATAAGCACACACACGTACGCACGCTATCTCTCTCTCTCTCTCTCTCTCTCTCGCTCTCTCTCTACAAACCCACACACACACATTCAACACACACACGCATGCACGCTCTCTCTCTCTACACACACACTCAACACACGCACGCACGCACACACACACACACACACACATGGACATGCACGTCGCTATGTATAAGGCGTTATTGATAAGTTCTGGTTACACACAGAAGGAATGGTGATGTTTTTTGTGTGGATCGGTGCGCGTTCATCGCGTTTGTCCATTTTCCAAAGATCACAGCCCCCTGCTATTTTGCTGACTTGTCACAGCGAAACAATTCTGCTCAATTGACTCAAGAGTGGGTGGAGAAATGGCCATGCCGATATACCTCTCTATACCACAACGAAATATTTCTCTGCTATTAATCCTTCTGGGCTAGTAGAAGCGGGCGACTACTGCCGATTATACATTGCTAGCACACTGAGATGCCATGCCGCAGTTTAATATAAATACCCCACTCAGACACAAAATACTGACTCCGAGCCGACCAGTCCTTGTTTTAGCCCCTTAATGCCGAGCACGAGACAGGGTAACAATAAGTACCATGTTTAAAATTCCTTTGGTATGAAGCTACCAGATCGAACCACCGACCTTCCGCTCTCCGGACAATACTTGTGGCAAGTTGGTGTGTGAGAACTGGATTGTTTTTGTTGTTTTGTTTGTTTGTTGATCAATCGGCAGTATTAGAGCTATATCACTGCGACCTGCAAATAATAGTCCAACTGAGCCCAACTAGTGCTTGAAAGCGTGCTACACCGTCGGGTACAGTTACGCGTAAATGTCCAAGTCATTTCGCCCGAACATTTTTGTCGGTTGTTACGTTGGTTGCTTTGTTGTTTAACGCCGCACTCTGCAATATTACAGCTATATGACGGCGGTCTGTAAATAATCGAGTCTGTACCAGACAGTCCAGTGGTTAATATCATGAGCATCGTTCCGCGATATCTGATACGATGACATACATCAACCAAGTCAGCGAGCCTGACCACCCGATCCCGTAAGTCGCCTCTTACGGCAAGCATTGGTTGCTGAAGACCTATTCTACCCCGGATCTTCGCGAGTCCCAATTCGCGTCGGTGGTCATTCGCTGGTTTGTGTGGTTCCTTTTTCGTTATGTAAAGGTGTTAGTGCATAGGGTCGCGTAAAACTCCATTCAATCAGTCGTACACGTGAACAATTAACACAACGCGAATAGGTCAAACGTTACTAATTTTGTGAATTCTTGGACCACAATGCTTGAGTGAGTGAGTGAGAAGAATTTTAACAACTTTTAACAATATTCCAGAAATATCACACGTGGAGAAACTCGGGCCTTCGATGCGACGAACGTTCGTCACTCTACTGAATACAATAAACTACGGTTATAACGAACACGCTTATAACGAACTGACGGATATAACGAACTATTTTTTGGTCCTGTTTATTTGCTGTACACAATGTATATTCCGTACGTTTGCTTATAAGGAACTACGGTTATAACAAATTAAAATTAGTGGTCCCTTTGAGTTCGTTATAACCGTAGTTAATATATACTGACAGAAGGAAATGAGGTATGCACAGGTATGGACAAGGCCAGATATATATTCTGATGAATCTGGTATTCGAGTCCACGATCAAAGGTGGCGGAAATCTGCACAGCGAATTGCGGCGCTTTGGACAATGGGGACGCTCATGTCAACCGTCTTATGGGTAGTTTACATGACTTCTATCAACACCTGGTATACTGTTTGACAAAGTCCACGCTCTTTTGGATCAATCAACCTGTAAAAATCGTTGATCATTGTTATAATAGATAGTAAGGTTTTGACTCTCTGTTTATTTATTTATTTCAGCCAAACTGGAGGGCTCCGATTTCTTCGACCGTATCCCAGGACTGTGTCGTGTCATAGGCTCGTTGTGCACGATGTCGTGTGTGGCGTCTCTCATGACCATCGCCGCCATGAGCTGCAACAGATACGTCTTCATCGTCCACCACAGTCACTACAAATCCATCTTCAGCACCCGCAACTGCGTCATCTACTGCGTGCTATTTTATTGTGTCGGAATGGGCCTCGTCCTCCTCAACCTCGCCGACATAGGCGGCCATTCCTTCGACCACAAGAGCCTTGAGTGTATTTGGGAGCGCATGGCGACGTACCCATACACCGTCGTATTCTCCGTCGTCATGGTGTGGATTCCGATCGGCGTCACAGGGATATCCTATCGGCGCATGTACCAACACGTGCGAGCTGTCCGTTCACGGGTACATAATGCACGTGCAACCCACCCCGGATCAACAGATAAATCAACTGATCGAACTCCAAGCTTCAAGCTCGCAAAGACACTGTTTATCATTTACATCGTGTTTTCCGTGTGCTGGATACCGTACGCCTTACTGATCGTCTTGGACTCACGTGACACCTTCCAGCACGAGCTGCACGTGTTTATCGTGGTGTTCGCTCACCTCCACCCGTCCATCAACTGGCTCGTGTATTACGTCACGAACAGGAAGTTCCACAAAGCATTCATCGAAATCCTTGGCCTCAACAAATGTATCTCTGTACAACGGGAAATGATGCGACCGCCATCTGTGCAAGCGCCACTAAGTGGACACGTTAACGGAAAAATTAAAGTGGCATCGCCCTAGCTACCTCCGTTAATGTTACGTCATAGTAAATATACCAGCATGTTATCAGTATTTGACGAGGACACACTGACAAAGTGGCTGCACGGATGAGTTGGACGTTGGATGCGATGATGTAATCACCCTAATTACCTTATTCGACGTAATAAGCGCCCCGCTCTAATAAGCGCCCACGGCGATATTTGCTAATATATTGGCTCGTGAACAATCCCAATTAGCACCCCTTCCGATTGATCAATGTACACAGGACTTATTTATTCGTGTATAATACGTATGTTATATGCATTCTTAATTATGAGAAATTAAATTCTGGAAAAAATATATCTGTCGTATATAAACATTTCAGGCTGTCAGCATAAACCACGAAATTTACGATCTTTCAACCAAAATACTACGATCTTTTCACCAAAATAATATTCTAATAAGAGCTCCCTATTTCTAACTTTGAGAGCGCCCTGGGCGCTTATTATGTCGAATACGGTATCGTCAGTTGTTGAAAAAGTTCAAGGGCCAAATAGAAAAAGCCCATATTATTTTTAATAACATTTAACATTATTTGAATCATACCTTAAGTTACACATTTGTGTTCGTGGTAAACTAAAAGTGAGTGAGTGGGATTTTACGAGCATTTTAGTAATATTCAAGCAATAGGAGCGACGTTTCGGTCTAGGTTCTAACACCGTTATCACTTGCTTGATAACGGTGTTAAAACCTACACCGAAACGTCGCTCCTTATTGTAATAAAGACGTTGTTCATTCATAAATCTTATCCTTACTTAGTTTCTGAAATTCACAGGCCGCCATGATAAAACAGAAATAATAGTGACTGCGGTGTAAAACAAACTAACTTTGAAGACAAACACTACACATATCCCACACTGTAAAACTCTTCTGAACACAATCCTTAATCCGTTTCTTGTCATATGAACAGGTTTTGAAACTGACCATGTTTACATCCTAAATATAGTTTTAGCACAATTTTAAACATTTTTAGGCCTCTATGTGTGTATATATTATGGGGTGTTGTGAGATTCTAACTTCTTTCGAGGTGTGTAGATCCTTAAAGTTATTACATAAAACACGCAAAACTTTGTTGTGACATGACCTTAAACTTTTTTTTAGCTAAAAATAACATTCTGGGCCAGAAACCCCAGTTGCTGACAGTATGACCCATGTGCTACGCAGGCGGGGTACGACGGCACGAAATGAACCAAGTCCCCAAGCCCGATAACTAGATCCAATATAGTCTCCATCTAACGACGCGCAATAGGATGCCGGGGACCTGTTCCATCAGGGTACTCATGGGCACTGATACCGATCCATATGTACCAAATCCTGGTGATTGTCTCTCATGACACAACTCGGCTTGAATCCTAAATAGTTGTTTAGCCGCTGATGTCTCCTTCATGTGTACTCACTGAACATAACCACGTGACCATCACCAATCCGTGTAACGTCCTTCTTAACACTACCCGTGAAGATCCGGGGTAGAATAGGTCTTCAGCAACCCATGCTTGCCGTAAAAGGCGACTATGCTTGTCGTAAGAGGCGACTTTCAGGATCGGGTGGTCAGGCTCGCTGACTTGGTTGATGAATGTCATCGTATCACAATTGCGTACATCGATGTTCATGATGTCAATCACTAGATTGTCTGGTCCAGACGCGATTGTTTACAGGCCGCCGTCCATATATCTGGAATATTGCCGAGTGCGGCGTTAAACAACAAACAAGCAAATCTCGTGCTGGTCACTACTTAAATTACTTGCATATGAAGCAGTCTTAAAATCGTTAACAAGTGCATGCAATTACACGCGGCCAGTGAGAATCTCGGGACACTGACACACAGAAGCTGAGGAAGCATTTGCGTGAGTGAGTGAGTTGGGTTTAACGCCGCTTTTAACAGTATTCCAGTTATATCGCGGCGTGTCAGCTTAATGTGGGAGGAAAGCCCGAAGTGATGCAGGTCTCAGACGTTTACCACTTCGGTGAAACCCAGGAGCACGGGTATGGTGTTGACAAACCTAGAAACATAATCGGGGCGAACCGGGATTCGAACCCACAATCATAGGTTTCTGGCGTGCCCAAGGGACATAACTCTGCACAGCGAATCGCGGCGCCTTAGACGACTGGGCCCCCCGCGCCCCCGGGAAAATTTGAAAGGGTAGTAGTAGTAGTAGTAGTAGTAGTAGTAGTAGTAGTAGTAGTAGTAGCTTCAATTATTACCATCTCACATTACCGTCGCAGTTATAAAACATGTCATTAGATAATCGATTTCTATTTAGGTATATGAGTATGTCATAAACATATAAAAATAATAGGATTTTCAAAACGACAGATAAGTTCAGTAGGTTGTGTAAAACTGTTAACCAGTACATATAATAAATGGCATACAAACACACGTTTATCGATTGCACGAGCCACACTACAGCTTGAGCAGCCTTACTGTCGGGATCACGGAAATGTCAGACATCAACTCAACAACATGAAATATAGATTTACAGAATGGCATGAACAATATTCAGTAGAAATCAAGTATCAAAGTTGAATAACTAAATACAGTAGGCCTGTCAGTCACAGTGCCCGTGAAGAACCGGGTTAGAATTTGCCTTCAGCATCCTCATGCTTCTCGTAAGAGGCGACTATGCTTGCTGTATTAGGCGACTGTGCTTGCTGTATTAGGCGACTTTACTTGCTGTAGGAGGTGACTATGCTTGCTGTATTAGGCGACTATGCTTGTCGTAAGAGGCGACTATGCTTGCTGTATTAGGCGGCTATGCTTGTCGTAAGAGGCGACTATGCTTGCTGTATGAGGCGGCTATGCTTGTCGTAAGAGGCGACTATGCTTGCTGTTTTAGGCGGCTATGCTTGTCGAAAGAGGCGACTATGCTTGTCGTAAGAGGCGACTATGCTTGCTGTATTAGGCGGCTATGCTTGTAAGAGGCGACTATGCTTGCTGTATTAGGCGACTATGCTTGTCGTAAGAGGCGACTATGCTTGCTGTATGAGGCGGCTGTGCTTGTCGTAAGAGGCGACTATGCTTGTCGTAAGAGGCGACTATGCTTGTCGTAAGAGGCGACTATGCTTGCTGTTTTAGGCGGCTGTGCTTGTCGTAAGAGGCGACTATGCTTGTCGTAAGAGGCGACTATGCTTGCTGTATTAGGCGACTATGCTTGTTGTGAGAGGCGACTATGCTTTGCTGTATTCGGTGGCTATGCTTGTCGTAAGAGGCGACTATGCTTGCTGTATTAAGCGCTATGCTTGTCGTAAGTGGCGACTATGCTTGTTGTGACAGGCGACTACGCTTGTCGTGAGAGGCGACTATGCTTGCTGTATTAGGCGACTATGCTTGTCGTAAGAGGCGACTATGCTTGCTGTATTTGGCGACTATGCTTGCTGTATTTGGCGACTATGCTTGCTGTAAGTTTACAATAAGCTCTGATTAAACTTTTATCCTTTAAACAAGTTAAATATCTTTCAGTTTGTAACAAAGATGGTACTCGGCATTAAGGGCCTAAAAGAAGGACTGGTTGGATCGTAGTCAGTGTATTGTGTATGGGATATTCATGTTAAACTGCCGCATGGTATCTCAGTGGGCTAGCTCTATAAATCGGCATCAGTCCGGACTAGTACAAGCACGCACACGTGCATGCAACTACCAAGTACTTTCACTCGTGTATTTTATCTCTTATGTTATTTTAATTGTATACATATAAGTACATTGATACATGGTATACTCTGTTGGTTAGGCAGTGTGTAAACTCATTTCGATTCAAGCATTTGCTCTTTTGAGGTGAATACTTTTAATTCCAATTGATAAATTGGCTCTGGGGAACTACTTAACGACTACACGTATGCATGACTTACTGTCCGGATAAGTGAGACAATTTTGAGTGCATTTCAGTGTTTTGTGTATGAAAATGACCGTCCGGTTCCGGGAAATGAATTTCCGTATATACGGGTAAATATATGTAGTAATTATTTCGTTTTGAATGAAAATCGTCCGGGAACCGAGGTTTCCGGATATCTGAAGTCCGTATAAGCGGGGCACGACTGTACTAACATCTGAAGGGGGCACGGGCGTCCAGTCGTCCAAGGGGACGCAATTAGTTGTGCAGAGTTGCGTTCCTTGGGCACGCCAGAGGCATACAATCATGTGTTCGAATCCCGGTTCGCCCTGATAATATTTCGCAGCGCCATACCCGTGAGTATCAGTTAATGTAGTAGGAAAGCCCAAAGTGATGCAGGTTTTAGACGTTTATCACTTTGGGCTTCCCTCCCACAATAAACTGCCGCGTAGCTGTATAACTGGAACATGGTTAAAAGCGGCGTTAAACACAACTCATTCACTGACATCTGAAGATGTTTTATATATTTTATATCACAGAAAATAAACTCAACACGAGAAATGGGTTAATCATATGATTTATATATGGTTACATCGTGGAAACTACAAAAAGAGAGTGTGGGTCTTTTATCTGCATTAGTTTTCTTCATCATCAAATGGAGGTATTGTACAGAAGAACACGGCGTCCGGGCAAACGGCTTTGAGGGCCCTGAGGGTCTCTATGTCAGCCATCTTGGCTTTGCCTGTTGCTGACACCGTTTGAACATCCTCTTTGAGCCTGCTGTTGAAGAGTTTCTGTGCCTTATAAATAGGTGTGGGAGAAAGCTATAAAAAAAACAGAAAAAAACATGAATCGTTCAAATTTGAGATGTTAGATGTAAATGAGTGAGTGAGATGGATTTAACGCTGCTTTTAACAGTATTCCAGTTATATCAAGGCGTGCCAGCTTAATGTGGGAGGAAAGCTCGAAGTGATGCAGCTCTCAGACGTTTACCACTTCGGTGAAACCCACGAGCACGGGTATGGTGCTGACAAACGTAGAAACATAATCGGGGCGAACCGGGATTCGAACCCACAATCATAGGCTTCTGGCGTGCCCAAGGGACGCATCTCTGCACAGTGAAACGCGGGGCCTTAGACGACTGGGCCACCCGTGCCCCCGTAAATGGATGTTTAAAAATAAAATTACTTAATTTCCAATTAAATGAAACAACAGTTTAATTGTATATAAGGTCTAATTAAAAGACAATTAAAATTAGATATGGAATATTATTATGATAATAGTACCTCCTCATGGTATGATGCATCCCACGTACATGTCTCACATGATTTTGACGTAGCACCTGCTCTAACATCTGCATCCACTTTGAAAAGTAAGGCTGCTATGTGGCTGCAAAGGTCTCCTTGCCTGTAGAAACAAGAAGAATATTATAATATAGGTGATAATGTTTTAATATTTTTGACACTATGTATTTAGGTTATATTAGTCATCTTCCTCAGGTAAGAGTGGCAATTTTAAGCCCGTATCAAAGTCTTGTTTTCCCCCTTGCCATTTCAAACCTACTTTTCTTGGCTCGATCGTGGCGCCATCCCATGTAGAGCACGAGTTATGCCCCTTGTGTTTGTGTGTTTGTTGTTTGACGCTGCACTCAGCAATATTCCAGCTATATGACGGCTGTATGTAAATAACAGAGTCTGGATCAGACAATCCAGTGATTGACGCCATGAGCATCGATCCACGTAATTGCGATACGATGACATGCATCAACAAAGTCAGCCAGTCTGACCACCCGATCCCGTTAGTCGCCTTTTACGACAAGCATGGTCGCTTTTTACAGCAAGCAAGGGTTGCTGAAGACCTATTCTAACCCGGAATCTTCACGGGTATGTCCCTTGTGGTGAAAACCCAACATCCAATCAGATCGCTGTTCTTATTTCGAATGGCTTCACCATGAAGTCTACCATATAGCAGACGACCTGATGGATCAGATAACGAAATGATTTGAGATATTACTCCCTGACAGACAAACAACAATAGAACTTCATGATAACCAAGTATATAGTTATAGTCCGCACATCGCGGTAACATGAAACGCTGAGTACGGATCGACTAAAAATATGTGTTCAGTCGGTCGAGTTTGCACCCAAAATATATTAAAGGCAATAAGTACTTGTGTGAGCTGAATGAAAACTTTGTAAATTCGACACGCGGAATCCGGATGTTGATTTTGTGAAACGTTCTCTGATTGGACTATCAATATATGATCAGAAAAAGTAGGCTTAAATTAGGAAGGGTGAAACCTAGGCTCGGGAGGGGGAGATTAGTGGACACTATTTCGAAATGAAATATGAATGATGCTTGACAATAATAGTAATAATAATGACAAGGTGTCTATTTGACGTCCGGGAGCGTCCGGTTACATCCGGTAGCGTCCGGGAGGTTTCATCAGTAAATAAAACAAACCTAGTACAAGTAACAAGGTAAGCAATATTTAATATGCTATCAAGTTGTTTTTTTACTATCCATTACTTGCTTGATAAAGGTGTTAGGATCTACACCGAAACGTCGCACTAATTGTAATAAACATGATAAAGAAGTTGTTCATCCATAGAACTTGTCTTACTTCAAGTTTTTTTTATTCAACAATGCAAGTTTTCTTAACACTGTTTGGTGGACTTGCGTCAGGAGACGTGGGATCAATTGCTTTCTTTATAATTCAATGACAGGTGTAAAACCTAAGTGGTCATGTGCTGTTTTTCTAACAATTTAAATACTTCATTGAGTAAAATGGATATGAATTAACATAGGGGACACAGGAAAGAGTTAGTTCCTGATTTAGAGAAAATAGATACTTTGAGTAGGCCTTACTGAATAATTTAAGGGGAAATAGTAATGAAATAAACATAAGAAATGTCAAATGAGAAATGAGTCATGTTGTTTTGGCAGAGATTTCTTATAAATATGGAAAAGGTTTTGTAGCTTTTCTTTACTATCTATAGTCCACAGAGAATGGGTAGTTCCTTATTAAAAGTGAATTAATTTGGAGAACAGACATCTTCCTCTCCCTCATTCCAATAAGACCCTTCACTGCAGTACATGGGACAACGATCGGGTTATAGCGAAAACGGCACCTCAGCAAAACGTCACCGGGCGAAAACGGCACCGATTGGCGAAAACGGCACCTCGACTCAAGCGAAAACGGCACCTCGACTCGAGCGAAAACGGCACCTTATTATTTTTTTTACCTTGGTCAAATAAATTATATTAAACTTACATTGTAACTTGCAAAGGCCAATAATTGTGAGATGTTAAAACAAGTTTACATTAGAAATTAGCCTCTGCTCCAACTATAATCCAACTTAGCTTATACGCAACTCAACTTATGGTGAAAACATAACATGCTTTGACGAAAGATAATAGAAATTAAACTCACATCGTCTGTTACAAACACAACTAATTGTGAAATAAAACAAATAAGAAATTAGCCCCCTACTCCAATTTACTCACCGACTTTTATTCACTATACGCTTTGAAGTTTTAAGTACCTTTACTCAATTTAAGCTGAAACTGATTTAAGAGGCCTAGCATGGTGCTGCCCATCATCCTACCTGGGGCATTGCAGATAAACTAGACAACCATGGACAACTAATATCAGAGTGGATCGAAAAAAATGACCTAATACTATTAAACAATAACCAACCAACTAGATACGACAAAATCCACCACACCATGTCGGCTATCGACTTAACAATATGTACGCCAGACTTAGCACAAAGTCTGATGTGGGACGTCCACCCAGTACCTCTAGTCAGCGACCACTTTCCCATAAATATAACCCTAGGAAATATAAAAATACCAAATCAAACCCCTAAACAGGAACCTAAATTTCAGTACAAAAACGCCAACTGGGACCAATTCCAAGAATTATGCAACGAAGCTAATCTAAACGATTTAGAAACAACAGACCCCGAAACATTCTGTCAAAACCTAACTAACTTCATAATCAACGCAGCCAAATCCGCAATCCCCTTCAAATCATCCAACCCAGGAAAACCCACTGTCCCTTGGTGGAATGAGGAAATAGAGCTAACTAGACTAAAACGCAAATCAGCTTTCAACAGAGCTAAACGAGACCCCTCTCATCTCAAAACAGCTCATGAACTAAACCACCAAGTCCAAAACCTAGTTAAAACTGCTAAAACCAAAAACTGGAAAAAATTCTGTGAGGAGCTAAACCACCACACCGACGCTAGGAAGGTGTGGCGCAAAATTCACGCCATCCGAGGCATCAAACGGCACAAAAAAAGCCCCAATATAAACAACTCAACTAACCCCAACCAAAAGGCCAACAACCTAGCCAAACACTTCTCTAAAGTTAGTAGCAACAGTAACTTCAGTAAGAAATTCCAAGATAAACTAAATAAAGAAATAAAATTCTCCAAAGAAATCAGACAAGACAACCTAGAAATAAATCAACCTTATACCATAGAAGAACTAAATCACGTACTAAACAATAGAAAAAAAGGAACAGCCCCTGGCCTAGACCTCACCTCTTACCAAATAATCAAACACTTACCTACCAAACTACTCCAAACTTTACTTAAACTATACAACCTAGTTTACCTAAACGGACAGGTCCCATCCTCATGGAAGGAAGCTCTAGTAATCCCAATACCTAAACCAAATAAACCAGCAGATCAGGCAAACTCCTATAGGCCCATATCCCTAACCTCAAATCTCTGCAAAATAATGGAACTTATGACTAAAAATAGGCTACAGCATTACCTAGACCAAAACAACATCATAAACCCCGACCAAAGCGGCTTCACTCCTGGCCGATCAACTCTCGATAACCTTGCCCGACTAGAACAGGATATAAAAACAGGACAGCTAAACAAGCAATACACCATAGGCATATTCCTCGACTTCTCTAAAGCTTTCGATATGGTATGGCACCACGGGCTAATACAAAAACTAAAAAAAATAGGACTAAAAGGCCAAATAATAAACTTCATCCAAGATTTCCTAAACAATCGCAAAATTACCGTGGGTATAGACCATACGCTATCGGACCAGTGTCCCCTAGAAAATGGCACTCCCCAGGGCAGCATTCTCAGCCCAACCCTCTTCAATATAATGATAAATGATCTATTCGAGGGCTTATCCCCTAAACTAAACACTTCAAAATTCGCGGATGATGGAGCCCTATGGATCCGCACTAAAAGCATTAAAATGGCAGAAAACTTAATCCAAAAATCTCTAAATAAAATACAACAATGGGCAGACAAATGGGGCTTCTCCCTTAACTCAGATAAAACAACAGGAGTAGTATTCAAACATAAAAACATGAAACCTGCCTACCCAATCCTCCAGCTAAACAACCAAACAATCAAATTCCAAAAACAAACCAAATTCTTAGGACTTATTTTCGATCAACACCTCACCTGGGAGGCTCACGTCCAAAACCTAAAAACTAGATGCAGCAAAGACCTTAACACATTAAGATGTCTCACCGGCTCTAACTGGGGAGCATCCAAAGATACCCTCCTCTCACTATATACAACACTAATTAGATCAAAACTAGACTACGGCTGCGCCATATACAATACCCTAAACAACTCTCTATCTAAAAAACTTGACTCAATCCAATACCAAGCCCTTAAACTAATTACACGCACCCAACATGGCACCTCCTACACCTCACTTCAGGCCCTTACAGGAGAAATGCCACTAAATCTACGCAGGGAACATCTAAGCCTTAATTTCTGGGCCGCGTCCCAAACAAACCCTCTCATCCAAAACCTAATTAACCAAAACATTAGCCCAAGAAACCAAGCTCTAGCTCGCAAACACCCCTTACTCACCCCAATATCCCAAAGAATAACAAACTACCTCAATGAACACCAAACTCAAAATCTTAAACAAAACTGCAAAAAATCAAATATCTTCACCCCTAAACTCAAAATACCCCAAATAGACACAACGCTAACTAACCAAATAAATAAACAAACCGACCCAAACATAGCTAAAACAACCACACTTTCATACATACACGAAAATTGGCCAAATTGGTGTCACATATACACTGACGGATCTTCAGACCCGATCTCCAAACACACAGGTTTCGGAGTCCATACCACACAACCAGTTATATCCACACAATCTTACCGACTCCCAAACAACCAATCTATATTCACGGCCGAACTTATGGGCATGGCCTCAGCCCTGCATAACCAACAATCAAAAAACCACAAAAAAATCCTAATTCTCACTGACTCGCTTAGTGGACTACAAGCCCTCCAAAACAAAAATACCAAAAAACGACCTAAATTAATAAACCAAATACTTAAAAGCTCCAACGACCTAACAAAAGCAGGCAAACAAATAACCTTCTTGTGGATCCCCGCCCACGTAGGAATTTACGGCAACGAAAGCGCCGATAAAGCAGCTAAATTATCTCTCAAAATACCAGAAATAAGCCTAAACCTACCCATCTCAAAATCAGAAATTAAAAGTGTAAACAAACAAAAAATAACCAAAAAATGGCATAATCAATATCAAAACTCAAATAGCCAAATGAAAAAAGTGCTCAGAAAACCACTAGCCAAACCTAAAATCCTTCACCCCTCTAAAAAAATTGACAGATTAATTACAAAACTCCAAACAGGACACACGAACCTAAATAACCACCTAAAACAACTTAAAAGACACACCACAGGCAACTGCCCCCACTGCAAACAACCCGAAACCACAGAACACGCACTCATCCACTGCACCCACTACCAAACACACAGAACCACACTACAAACCAACCTCAATCTAAATAAGGTTCCTACTCTAGATGAAATACTAAACCCTCAAAATAAACTAGAAAACTTCAAGGCCCTAGGCGTATTCCTAATCAAAACAGGCCTAATTAAGCGCATCTAAAAACTAATTAATCTACCAACCCAAAATCCAATAAACATACAAATACCCACCTCACCCAGCTCCCTTAGTTCCCTCCTCCATCCACCTCGGCATTTATTCCAAATTTTAAAATTTCAAAAATCGATATAAGCAACCCCTAAAAGCCCCCTCTTGTGTTGCACACACCACTTTCACCCTTCTCGGAATACACTAAATGGTCTGGCCAGGCCCGTGTGCGAAATACGCTGCAGTCGGAAAGCGCACGTTAAATCTTCTATATCAGTCAGTCAGTCAGTCAGTGCTGTCAGATCACAATTATTCACAATGGCCTTTCGATGTGTTGCATGCGAGAAGGATGTAAGAAAAATCAACATGCTGTATCATGTGATAACTGTGACCAGTGGACCCATCGTGTATGTGGAACCGGACTTTCTATGGCCCCGTTATAGAGAAATTTGCCGTACTGACCTGCCTTTCCGCTGTGTGAAATGCGTAGCTCCCGTCATTGAAGAGGTGATCGGTAACTTACATGTCAGTTTCCAGTCAGAAGATGCTGAAGAGATGAGAGTACCAAACCTATCGGAAATTCACATTACGGCTTCAGATGTACTCAATACATCAAAATACCATGTAAATAAACCATATATAATACTACAAAAATCGTTGTTATCGTTATTAAAAATAGAGGTGCCGTTTTCGCCCGACACATAGTAGCCGTTTTCGCCAAATGCGGTGCCGTTTTCGCCAGAGAAATCGGTGACGTTTTGCTGAGGTGCCGTTTTAGTCTGCACCCCAACGATCGAAGGCAATAAAAACACACTCTATATGCAGATTTAACTTCTAGCCTTGGATAGCAAATAACTCATAGCTTTTAGTGCTTGTACGTTTAGTGAAAATATGGCTTGGTTAAGCTTTCGACTTCTATGGAATTGTATACCTGTCACGAATATCTAATTCGTCATCCGCTCATCGTGGAGTTTAATACCAATTTTCTTTTATGTAAAAGAGCTGCGGAAGAACCAAAATATTCTTCCGCACATTGATGTTAAATTTCCATGTATAACAGTAATCTGGTAATTATCAAACATACTCAAGCAATGTTGTAACTCCTCGTGGCCTTTTGTTTTGACAAAGAGTCCTGTGTCATCGGTGTATAACAAGACAAAAAGTGTAAGTATACCATCACATACTGCAAAAATGTTTCGACATAGTAAAGGAAAGGAGCAAATAGGAGCGATGACAGGTTTTCTCCTTGACGAACACCACTGTCACGGTTTAAGAAAATCCACACATTTCACCATTCAAACAAATGAATGACTTTATTACATATCTTTATACATAATTCAAATTAGAGTAAATAGTTTTCCTGAGACACCACAGGATATTAATTTAAGCCATAGCCCATACAGATAACTATAGCGTTTGAACAATTGGGAGACTCGCGTAAAAAGACGAATATCGTAAATAAAAAACCCATATTAACGGCACTTTATATTAATTAAAACAAGAATACAATTATAAAACAGTTTTAAACTAAACCTTTATTCATATCTGCTGGGCGCTCCCTGGCGTAATTTAGTAGGAATGAATGAGTGAGCTTTTGATTTTACGCCGCCTTTAGCATGTTTAGCAATATCACGGCGGGGAGCATCAGAATTTGGCTACCCGACCGCCCCATTTTGTAGGACCGATAACTGTGATAACAACATTATGAAGAAGAATTTAATTTAATTTACTTGTTTTCGTACATAACTATTGAAATGGAGACATAATACACTTACTTTGACATACACGTGCAATGCGCACTGTAAACGGTACCTTGTTTTTTGCTGACACAAATCCAAGGCTGATGTGGCTTCTCACGCAGACGTTGTGGTGGAATTACCTTTGTTTTCAGGAAACAGAATGGGGACTTGTCATCCACATTATGATATCGAATCGGATGGACATATCCACTCTTCACATATTCATAAGCTTTCAGTGACTTGTAGGCCCGTAAGGAATCGTGCGTGAACTGTCCTGGTGCATCAATGAGGAAGAAGTATATGTCGGTAAACGAAATGTCCGGCCACTGTGAAGGGTCGTCAAGCCATCCATCCAGAAAATAGGGGTCAGGCAAGCGACAATCACCCTCTTGATACGTTAGTTTCGTAACATACCGCTCCCGGGCCTCGGGTGACAAGTTAATCACATATACAGACCATTCTGTGGTTTTCATACCGATTCTATTCACTTTGTTATCGTCCGCCATTGTTGCTTCCTCCCCACTAGCGCACGCGGTAGCCAATTCGTGACGTCACATCCGTAAACATATGACATTTCCAACAGGGCCTATCAGAAACCCCTAAAGAAAAAGATCGACCGAGTTGTCTCCCCGGACAACTCTCCACTCCCGGAACACGACTTGGTGAATACACGGCACGTGTTTCTGAATAACAACCACTTTATTCGTTACATCGACTTTCAGGGTCCCTTCATTAGATGACCCGTATTGCGTTAACATATATACATGCACACATTACTTCTTAGATAGGCATTTAGATGTTGGAGTACTAAGTAAGGATAAGAATTTATGGATGAACAACTTTTTTATTACAATTAAGAGCGACGTGTCGGTGTAGGTTCGCTTGATGACGGTGTTAGATCCTACACCGAAAAGTCGCTCTTAATTGTAATAAAGAAGTTGCTCATCCATAAATTCTAATCCTTACATGCTCATATGTTTACCAAAGTTTGGAATAATGTGAAAAAACAACAATATTATGTCCGGGTTGTAGTCAAAACGGCCTCCAAACTCGAAGTCAAAACGGCCACAAGAAAAAAGAGTATACTTGTTAGATGTTGTTATTGATAATAAATCAATATTCAACGTTAGCTTGAAGTGTACAGAGTATAAATGTTAGATGTTGTTATTACAATGTAATGTCCTCCAGTATAGTTCACATGTTGTTTTAACCAGTCTCATCAGTTTGCTTTGATCTCTGTACTGACCAGTATACCAATCTGTTGTGAAAACATGAATAAACTTGTATCCTAATGATGAAACATTTAAGTGTTTTTATTTCAAACTAATCCATTCAACACAACACCTTCAGTCATGGATCAGGAAGATGGTGATATCCTACTTGTCCGGCAGCCGGTAAACAGTTAATCCCCACTATGTGTGTTTAAGACGAGGGGTCGTTTCAAATATAAGTCTGTCAGTGATGGTCCCGTGTAGTCCGGCCTCAGAAGAAAGTGTTTTGTTCAACATTTTATTTCCATTGATATGGTTTTTAAAAATAAACATTCAAGTATGTCCATATACAAATTGTGGAATATCACATAAATACACATTTACAAACTACGTTTGTATATATTTCAAATTATACTTTTATTAGATAAAAATGCACAAAAATTCAATACAATAGTATCACCAGTAATGCTTTTCCCATTGTATTACAAAAAGTTTCTTTATTAATTTGATATATAATATGATTTCTGTACATACATTCACAATTCACAAACCATCAAGATGCGACACTGCGTCATAGTACTGGTATTGGGATTTCCAGACAGCAGCTGCATGATAACAATCTCATTACTGTCCTGCTCAAATTGGATAATTTCAATGAATTTATACAGGTTTGGGTGACTGCGTCCTTTAGGTTGGAGTGACAACCTTCAAGATGGTTGGTTGTACGTGGACCAGTGGTATGGAAGTGATTCCACATAGCACGGTTTGATTAGTGGTATGAATTCATCAATTACCAATAACAACTTATCACTAACAGCGTAAAATGTGTTCACCCCCGAATTCATTACAGTGTTAAATTTGTTCACCCCTAGAATAAAATCTTGAGATGCCCCCCTAATCCCCCTATTGTTTGACCAATTGGTACGCCTGGGCGATTTTACTACTAAGACAAAAGGTGCCGGACAAGTAGGATGCCCCCCAGGAAGATACAAGGAAGGCGATATATCGGTGCTGGACTGCTTTTAAAATATGCGCTTCAAAACATGAATCGAGGGTTTCATATGCGATATGGAACTGTGACATTGAACTGTGTAATCACTTGTGTACTGCTGAGTTAGCGCTGAATTAAGATCTGTGTGCGTATGGTGTTATGAACTGAAATACAATTTATGTAATACATGTGACATAATACTTGAGTTTGTCTTCTTTATTTTTGTGTGTCCGTTATGACTTTTCTTGTGGCCGTTTTGACTATGGGTTGTGGCCGTTTTGACTTTACCTTTTTAGGCCGTTTTGACCAGCTCCTTTATGAGATACTGACTACGATATTAGCTGGCAACAAACGAAAAGTCTCCATATTAACATCAACCACTGGAAAAAGGAAACTGCAAGAAACTATTGAAATACAAAAAAAGGAAGCCGGCCATTCACAGAGATCAATGCCAACTTAAAATCATGTCATTGAAATTTGAAATAATATTCAGAAAGTCCTTATAATCATGAGAGGTATACAATTATAAACCACTAAAGTCTAGTGCAACATTTAATTTGATCAAATACATCGCAAATAATTTCCACCGTAATGGTGAAATATCAACTGCCAAATATTGTGGTTAAAATGTAGTCAAGAATGTGAGATACACTATCACATTCGGGAACATGCATTTTCCTGTGCCTTGTTTAGGCTACCCACCATGGCTAAGCGTTATAAACATTTGTTAGAACTTAAGGGACGCAGATCAAAATTGATATATTATCATGTCGAGGGGCAAATGTGTATCTCAGGACAATAATCATGTGACTGTTCGTTTTTGTGTGTTTTGTTTGTGTGTGTAAGAATTGGCATAAGGAAGCCAGGAAACCTTTTCAGAAAGCGTTTTTCTAACACGTTCCACTATATATAACAGCAAATCGGAAATGAATAGACTGCCATGTTGTCTGACTGTTGTGATTTGTGATCTTATCATCATCGGATGTGACCATGTAGACAGAATCGCATTTGTGTTTATGATTGTTACCATTGCCCAATGACCATACTGAGTATGGGGACACCCAAGTTACCAGCAGTTAATGCTTGTGAACACCATTTAGATAGGATGTCTTGGTGAATTGTAATCCTTTCTTTCACTGAAGGAAGTCACTCAACCAGTTCATGCATTCTATGTCAAAAGACGACCAGACTTGGCTAGAATCCGTGTTTGTCTGTGACAAGTTACAGCTGGTGACATTTAAGGGAAATTCACAAGTGACGAAGAGTTTTAATATTCATAGTATTATAGTTTGTCAAATTGTAAATAAAACTCTACAATAAATTATTTATGTATTCATTGTGGGGACATGAATTATGAAAAACGTATACTGTTTTCAAGTCAACGTGGTGGTAAAATCCAAACTTTTATAAAACTTTAATTCATTTGACATGTTTTTCCTCACTGAAAGTGCACAAATAACAAAATAATAAATTAAATACATTATTTCTGTAAATGCAGTCTTTATTCTTTCGGTATCTGTGGGTTCGAATCCCGGTTCTCCCCGATTATGTTTCTAGGTTTGTCAGCTCCATACCCGTGCTCGTGGGTTTCACCGAAGTGGTAAACGTCTGAGACCTGCATCACTTCAGGCTTTCCTCCTACATTAAACTGACACGCCGTGATATAACTGGAATACTGTTAAAAGCGGCGTTAAACCCAACTCACTCACTTTCAGAATCACTTCATCAGAACTGCTTGTGAATTGCACAAATAACAGAATAAAATGTAAATTCAGTCTTTATTCATTTAGGATTGAGAGATGATTGCAAATTTTACAAATAACTTTATCAACTGAATACCTTGTTACTACAAATTACACAAAAAACAATAAACATTAAATCTTTTTTCAATCGGTAACACAACGATATCGTTTACCATTCACACCAAAAGAGTATCTAGCACCAAAGTTTACACAAACAGCCCAAGAAAGGATAAGAAGAGAAGCGGCGGAAACACAGATATTAGATAACAGTTACATGTGATCAAACAGGTTTATGTCATTGAGAGGCATTTAGAAGTTGGAACAATAATGTGTGTATGTGTATGTATTAACTAGATATCTAAAAACAAAGCATGGTTAAGATGAGAAACATATACTGAAAAACTGAATTTAATGAGTAGAAGTGGCATGGGATTAGCTGTGCATTGGACCATTTTGTTGTTTTAATCTGTAATGTGGCCAGACAAACAGACAAATGTGCAAAACTAGAGACTAATATACATCAGTTTGAAATATGGACGTCTTTGTGAATCTAAGGCACTAGATATACAATTACATCGATAATATATCAATGCGCGACGATGAGATAGCATATCACGGACGGTTTTCTGCAATGTTGAAACACATGTTTCATTTGACATTATAAATCCGTATGTCTTTACATGAGTTAAAGGACAGTATATGTAAAACAAGCCAAATTTCCAAGATTAGAAGATGGCATTTAGAACATCGGTGAAAGATAACAATGCTTGAATTAACACCCTTGCCTGAGCTATTCCAACAGTTACAATAGGCAATTGTTGCAAGCGACAGGAGTGTGTACGCGCCGGAAATAACAAGACAGTTATCTGCCCTTGATCTGCATGCGCTAAGCGATCCGTTTTTAGCGAATGTTCACGCTCCAGTCGTCTATTGTTACTGTTTGAACAGCGTAGACTTCACTAATTGTTATCGTTCACCGGGGTGTCCTCTCAAAACTTCTATTCTACGTGCCATCTTCTCATCTTAAACACATTCTCTCTTTTAATGAGACAATCTGAAGACAAATGAAAACAAGTGTTTCATTGTTGTCGTGCTGTCGGTTATTGATTTATATTTAAAATTGATGGAAATTTAGTGCCGTATATTTGAAGAATTTCATACGTGCATATTTCAAACAGATATTTTACGTTCATGTGAAGAAATGCATTGTTTCATATTTTATATACTATTGTCTCTCATAATTCTACGAGAACGGTTGTGTACATATGTACATGTTTTAACATTTTTGTATTGGAGGTCGGAAAGAGATTCATAGGAAAAACAACAAACAAAATATGTCACATAGGCCATAACTGAATAAACAAACTTCTTGCAATACGTTATATAAACATGGTATTCAACAAACACACCTTCTAAATTATATCTATTAATCAGCTGATAAATCTAAGTTATATATATTTTGTGATCATTTGATGACATTTAAAGATGACATTCTCACCACATTGAAATCTGTGAAGCAGTCTAGATCTTCATGAGATGTGATGACATAGTCCACGACAGAA